ATGACTATTCATTTTTCTAAGACAGATCTATCTTGTAACTCTGTCTCTTCCTACTCTAGTATGTTGTGGTTGTCCTCTTCTTTCTAGGTCTTTTTCAACTGTGATTTTGAGAGTTCCCTTCCTCCTCATCGTGGGAATCCTCTCTCTTCTATCTTAAATCCCCTACTTCTTCCCTTATCATGATGTTCACCCTTGTTTTGGTGAATTATATCCTCTACTACCTTCCTGAGACCACAACTGTCTGAAAATGTCTTTATTCTGTTCTCATAATTGGAGAAGATAGTTTTGTTGGGTATAGAATTCTATGTAGGAAATATTTTTGTCATGAAGGTAGAGGAATCACTCTCGATTCAGTTTTGTATTTGATCCGTTTTGTATCTTCCAGAGCCTTTAGGTCTTCTTTAGCTCTAGTGCTCTGAAATGTTACAGTGGTATGCCTTGCTGTGCACACTGTTTTTCTTTCCTGCATTTTGCATAATATGACTCCTTTCACTCAAGGAAAGTCTGTTAAAATGCTTCTTTGATAATGTCCTCCCTTTTTTCTTTGTGAATTATCTATTATCTAGATAATGACTTTCAGAATTTTAAAAAAGTTTATTGGGTAGAGGGCCCACGAGAGAGCCAGAGAGATTTTTCATCCACTGGTTCACTCCCCAAATGCCACAATAGCTGGAGCTGAGCCACCCTATAAACATTTTGAAAAATGAACACAATTCAGATCTCCCCTGTGGTGGCAGTGACCCAAGTACTTGAATATCCACCTGCTGTAGGGTATGCATTACAGGAAGCTGGAATCAGAAGTAGAGTCAGGATTTGAACACAGCACTCTTATATAGGATGCAGGTATCCCAACTAACATTTTAGCTGCTGAGACAAACGTTCACTTCAGATTTCAATTTCATTCTGTAATTTCCTTGTTTCAGGGATCCTGTAATCCATTTTTTTTTCTTTTTTAGCTCTGCTTTCTGAGAAATTTAATTCCTTCTTCTAGCTGTATTTTAAGATTATTTTTTTTTATTTCTCTTCTTTTTTTTTTTTTTTGACAGGCAGAGTTAGTGAGAAGAGAAAGGTCTTGGTTCACCCCCCAAATGGCCACTGCGGCCGGTGCACCGTGCTGATCTGAAGTCAGGAGCCAGGTGCTTCTCCTGGTTTCCCATGCAGGTGCTTCTCCTGGTCTCCCATGCAGGTGCAGGGCCCAAGGACCTGGGCCATCCTCCACTGCACTCCCGGGCCACAGCAGAGAGCTGGACTGGAAGAGATGCAATGGGGACAGAATCTGGCGCCCCGACCAGGACTAGAACCCGGTGTGCCAGCGCCGCAGGCGGAGGATTAGCCTAGTGAGCTGCGGCGCTGGCCTATTTTTTTAATTTCTAAGAGATATCTCTTGTTCTATAATTGCTTTTTTTTTTGTAGTATCCTGTTCTGTTTGACAGATGTTTCATACTCTCTTGTCTCTGAGGATTTTTTTTAGTGTACTGATATTAATTTCCTGTAGTCTGACTTGATTATGGTTCTTCTGACTCCTCTTTTCTTTTGATTTAGGTTTCTATTTTTCAGATTATAAACATTACTCAAGTGTTTAGTCATCCCTAACTATGCATCCTATAAAAGCTTTTTGCTCATGAGCAGCTAGGAACTAGTGTACTTCACTTTGAGATGATCACTTTGTTGAAAGACTTCCAGTTTTCAACACCTGTAGGTCTTTTCATTGGATTTCTTAGTTTCAGAGATTCTCATCCTGGAGACTATTCATTTATCTGCCTATATTCTAGAAGCCAAATGAAAAAACGGTAGTTGGGAGGATGCTTACTGCTTACTAGTATGAATTTCACTTACCTCCCTGATCACTTTCCTCTGTCTGCTTCCATCTGCTTTCCAATATCCCTGCCTTGTTTCTCCTACAATTAATGTAAAATGGAATTAGGCATCATTCTTTTGTGTCTGGTTTTTCTTTTCATTAAACTTTATATCTTTGAGATTCATCCATGTTGTTTTGTGTATCAGTTTATTTGTTTTTATTGCTGAGTAATTCTATTAAACACATATACTAGTTTTGTCTACTGAAGCATATATGTTGTTTCCTGCATAGGCTATTATGAATAAAATTCTATAAACATTTTGAAAAATTAATTTTAAAGAACACATGTTTTGGGGTCGGTGCAGTGGAGTAGCAGATAAAGCCACTGCCTGCAGTGCCGGCATCCCATATGGGCGTCAGTTTGAGTCCCAGCTGCTCCTCCTCCGATCCAGCTCTCTGCTGTGGCCTGGGAAAGCAGTAAAAGATGACCCAAGTCCTTGGGCCCCTGCACTCACATGGGAGACCCAGAAAAAGCTCCTGGCTTCTGGCTTCAAATCAGCACAGCTCTGGCCGTTGTGGCCATCTGGGGAATGAACCAGCAGATGGAAGACTTTCTCTCTCTCTCTCTCTCTTTCTCTCTCCCTCCCTCCCTCCCTCCCTCCCTCCCTTTCTCTCTCTCTGGATCACTCTGCGATCAAGCAACTATATCTACCAATAAATAAATAAATCTTTTAAGAAAAAAGCATATATTTTCATTTTTCTTGGGAAAATAGCAAGGAGTAAAATTTCTTGGTCACGACATAGTATATGTTTAACTGTGTAATACATGTTTAACTTTGTGTATTTTGTGTTTAACTATGTGGTGTATGTTTAACTTTGTACAGCATATTTTAAAGAGGGTTCTGATTGCTCCTCAGTCTCACCAGTATTGGTTATTGTCAGACTTTTTAATCTTAGCTCTTCTAAAGAGTTTGAAGTGATACCTCATTGTGATTTTTATCTCTCATTGTGATTTTAATTTGTGTTTCCCTGATGACTAATAGTGGTGACTGTTAACCCTTCATTCATCTTCTTATTTGAAATATCTATTCAAGTCATCTACCCATTTTAATTGGGTAGTTTCTTTATGTTTCTTTATGACATCCATGCTGTCTCCCTGGGTCTGCAAGAGCCTGGAGTCAGGAGCCCAAGACAAGCGCGGAACCCAGGCACTCCAATGTGGGATACAGGCATTTTAACTAGCATCCTAAAAACTAGGCAAAATACCACTCCTCCTTTAATTCTTGATGAATATTTTTGCTAGTTTTAAATTTTTTTTTCTTTTTGTACTTAATAGATTCTTTTGTCTCCTGGATCCCATTGTTTTTGATTAGAAATCTGCTATTATTTGTATTGTTCCCTGCCTGTAATGCATTATATCTGTCTGGTGACCTTAAATATTTTCTCTCTATTTTTTGTTTCAGCATTTAATAATGATGCACCTACCTATGTTTTCCCAACCTTACTTCACTGAGATTATTGAATGTCTAAGTTTGTGTATTTCCAGATGTTGGAAGATTTTGACTGCTTTTCTTCCCAAATATCTTTCTGCCCTGTACGTCCCATCCTCTTTCTGAAGACTCCAGTTATACATATGTTAGACTGCTTGAAAATCTTCCACAAGTCCTCTTTGATTTTCACACTAGTTAAATCATTTTGATACATTTTCAAGTTCATGGAACTTTCTTTCATCCCATTATCTCGTCATGTATTCAATCTTTCCATTTATTTTTTATTTCACACATTGACTTTTCAGTTCTAAAATGCACATTTTTTACAGTTGCCATTTCACCGCTGAGATTTCCTATGTAATCATTCACTGAGACCTTATTTTCCTGTTTAAGTCCTTGAGCACCTTTAGAATAGCTTTTTGTATTAGTATTCTTTTTGTTACCTTAATTAAAATACCTGTGAGTAGCTTCTTGGGGAAGATTTATTTCTGCTTACAGTTCGGAAATTAACAGTTCAAGATCAGATGGCCCCATAGTCCAGTTTCTGCTGGAAGCTGGTAATGGTGGATGTGGAGGATTGATCACATGGTGATCCAGGAAGAAGGAAGGGGGGGATGGAGGAGAGAGAGGGTGAGAGAGAGAAAGGGTGAGAGAGAGAGAGGCAGAGCGCAGCTAGGCCAAACTTGAATTCAAACAGTCAACACTCTGAAAAACCACCTTCTGAGGGCATGCCCCAGTGAATCTCTCAGATTCTGTAATATCAAGTCCTCCACCCTTAGTCCATCAGCCATTAGCATTAAGACATCAGAGTGTAAACATGTTGGATGAATTTTTCAGCAACAAGTTCTATTCAACCCATAACACTGTTTTAATTTCTGTCTGCTTATCCCAAGATCAGGGTCATTTTGTGGATGGCTTCTGTTCATTGCTTTTTCTATTGGTACTAGATTGCATTTTCCCATTTATTTTCACGTCTAGACATTTTTTATTGTATGCTGGTCAATGTAATAATACCTCATGAATTTTATTATATTTCCCTAAGCAGTGTTGATTTTTGTTCTGGAAAGTTAACTTAGCTGAAGTCCGAATGCTCTCTCTTCTTTGTTAAACTTCAGCTGAAATCTATGCCTAATCCTTTCAGCTTACTGCTAAGTTTCACTTGAGCAGTTTCAGGATAAGCTAGGGATTTGGATAAAGTTCATATATAGATTCAGAGGATCTCTTATGACTTCTTCCTTTCTGAGATTTAGCACTTATTTTCCAGTTTTGCTCTCAACTCCGAACTAGGTCTTCCAACTTCTCAAACCAGTAATATTGCAGATTTCTGCTTAGGTTGTACACAGTGCACACCATGTGGGCTGTGGAGTGTTGCCAGATGAAAAGTCATATGAATATGAACTCCACCTGGTGCAGTTAATTCTTTCCAGAATCAACTCATCTCCAGTTTCTACTTATTTCTCATTACTCTATTTTTCATTCAAATAGTTGTTTTTATTTTTTTCCAAATTTAATATTACCTGCAGAAGAAGTATGCACACTATTTTGTCATTCTTAGAATATATACCACATTGCTTTTTATTTTGTATTGATGCACAAGATGATTAAACAAAACATCTTATATATTGTCTTTGAGTAATGGAAAAAAGCTCTTTAAAATCTTCTAATGGAATTGCTCATATTTCTAATCTAATTTTCTCTTGTTTCTCTTATAGACAAGAGATGATTTCCTAGGTCAAGTGGATGTTCCTCTTTATCCATTACCGGTTGGTATAAATGTGTTTGATTTTGTACTTTGTTTTTATTAATTTTAATTTAATAAACAATTATATACACTATAGTGAATGTAAGTATTTTATTTCTTGAACATAGTATTTTCTAAAAACTCATCTCAGTTCTTCATTTCAATTTTCTCTTTAAGATTTCCCAGTAAGAAACAGAAAGCCAGTGAAGTTTGTTGGCATCATGAACGCTTTGGTTAAGGATAATCAGTTTGGAAATACTGAAAACTAGAATAAACAGAGCCTAGGATTACAGAAGGAAATTAAGATAGACTACAGCAACATAATCATGAAACATCGACAATCTGGACTAAGCAGAAAGCAGTGGAGGAAAATAGATTTAGGAAACATTTCAGAATAAAATGTTGTTGAATCAAGTGTCAGAGGTTGAAAAAAGAATAACCAAAAAGGAAAGATAATACAGATTGCACATAGAAGATAAGGATGGTATCTCCAGAAAAATAGGGCAGAGGAAAAGCTATTTTGTTTTGAAATACATGAAATTTGTGGGCATATTTAATTTTAATTAAAAAAAAATGAACATTTGAAGTGTATACCTGAAAGAGATGCAAAAATAAATTATTTAGGGAAAGAGAACTGGAATGATTGAGTTATAACTGGAGTTATTGAGAGGTAAGAGCAGAATATCAGAATACGGAAATGTCCAAATTTGGGAGCTGAGAGCCAAGGACCAAGTGTTGAACTTCAGTCAACATGGTTGGATTAGAGAGAGACAAGACAGTCAGTAGGAGAAAAGAGAAGGCCAAGTAAATTAATGTCATGAAAACTAAAGAAAGGAGTTTAAAGCAGAAGAGGTAGTTAATGCAAAACATAGCAGAGAAGTACATGATCATTTTAAAACACAAAGGATTGCTGAACTTGATTACAAAAGAGAGACAGAGGAGAAAAATACTTCTCTATCTTTTCAGACTTTGAAGATTACTATTAGTGCTCTACAATGTTTAGAAATTATGAGCTTCCAATAATATATTGAACCCAGTCCTGCTTTCCTGGCTGTTTACTTTTTGGTTCTCCTAAGACTGTCTCTTATGCCCTCCCCAAGCTAAGCAGCTGACACTGTGTGTTCTACATATTCTTTTGGGTACCAGCATTCGCCTTGTTCTCTTTTACCCCCGTTAGCACCAAAATCCACCTGCTCAGCTAGTTTTAGACTGAGTTGTGATGCTAGCTGACAATGTCAAGTAATCGATTTTAATGAACTAAAGCTACTTTCTTCTCACTTCTAACTTCATTTATGCCTTACGTCATAGTTTGTGAATATTATTGAAAAGCGCATATTTTTGGTGTTATAGCTATATCTTGAAAACCTACTGTTTTATTCTAGACAGAAAATCCCAGAATGGAGAGACCATATACATTTAAGGATTTTGTTCTTCATCCAAGAAGGTCAGTAAATATAAAATCATAGCATTTTAAGTGTTTAATCTCTTGTTACAACTTATGGTAGCCTCTTTGGAAATTGAGGGCTTAAACATTTATAAATAAACTACTTCTAAATATTACATAATTATGTTTAAAGCTTTATTGTTATTTGTATTTAAAAGTTGTATATGCACATTGCAAAAAAGTTCTGAAAATACAGAAAAGTGATCATACCCATTTGGAAAAGATTTTTCTTCCTAATATTTATCAGACTGCAAACTGAAAAATTTCATTATTTCAGATCTTCAGTGTAGGTAACTTTGTCATACTATGCTTTAAAAAACACAAACAAAACTATTCATCTAAAACAAACATCCAACATGATACTCACAAAACCATTTTCAGAAAGTCCTCATAACTACGTTTTACATACTTTAATAAAAACATACTTTAGAAAATTCAAATATTTAGAGAAAATAACGTGAAGGAAGACTGGAATTTAAAGCCCAGACAGTATGCTCATAATTCCATTTTCCTAAACTGAAATACTGAATTTTTATTAAAACTTAAAATTTAACCTGTGAATAAAACTCCCTTTGATCTTCTCAGAATCAGGCAAAATGTAGTCAAAACTTGTGTGGATTTGTTGTTAAAAAGGTCAAAGTAAAGCAGATAAAGGGCATCGGTATTCATCTTGTTTTTTAACAGATGAATTTAAACAGAAAATGCTTTGGAAGATGTGCTAATGTGAGCTAGTAAGAAGTTTACTTTAAAATGATTTTTACATCACTCTTCATAACATAAACATTAAAACAAAAGAGACAGTGCTGTGTGTGTCAGTGTTTACTCTGTATAAAAGAAATGACATATTCAATTCAAAAAGAAGTCTGGAATGTAAATCTGTTTTCCTTCCTCAACTTCAGAAAGGTTGCGACATCTGCATACCAAATATTTCTTTTCTCATTCATTTGCCCTACTAGCCTGCTTTTCCATTTGTCATTTGCCTTTTAGTGTCCTTATCTTCAAAAATATATAATGATATGTAACTTTGTCTATATTGATATTGTTGCAAATGCAGAAAGAACGGTTTTTTCCAGAAAGAAAATAGAAAATTCTTAGATTTGCTTGAGTCTCATTAAGTCAAAACCTATGGGTTTATTTCCTGGTTGGAAAGATACAAAACATACATTTGTAGAGAAATTTTTCAGTAGAACATTATCTGAGCACATTTTCTGTATTTGTCTCTTATAGCAACAAGTCAGAGTGTTCAAACCCCTTACATAAATAAATATTCACAGCCTTGAAATAAGCATCAGAGATTTTACTGACAGCTCAGGAAAGGGTATGCGAAATTTGGTAATCACTTAAAGATGGGATAAAAGGATTAGGACTTGTTTGTGTACACAGACAGAACTGATATAAAATTAAAACTATATAGAGGCTGGCGCCGCGGCTCAATAGGCTAATCCTCCACCTAGTGGCACCGGCACACCGGGTTCTAGTCCTGGTCAGGGCGCCAGATTCTGTCCCGGTTGCCCCTCTTCCAGGCCAGCTCTCTGCTGTGGCCCTGGAAGGCAGTGGAGGATGGCCCAGGTCCTTGGGCCCTGCACCCCATGGGAGACCAGAAGAAGCAACTGGCTCCTGGCTTCGGATCAGCGTGGTGCACCGGCCGCAGCGCGCCAGCCGTGGTGGCCATTGGAGGGTGAACCAACGGCAAAGGAAGACCTTTCTCTCTGTCTCTCTCTCTCACTGTCCACTCTGCCTGTCAAAAACAAACAAACAAACAAACAAACAAAAACTATATAGAAAGAACAAGCAAAGATTTCTTAATTAAATCTTAGGTGTTAGAATTCATAGGAATAATAGATAGAATTAAGTCTTAAAATAGTATGAAAGATTTAAAAAGAAATTTAAAATATCCCAACAGTGGACAACAACCTTGAGTTTAGACAGCTCATTATTCAAAGAGATGATAGAGTATGAAAATCGGGAAAGGCATGTATGGCAGATTCAGACACCTGTTAGGAAAAGGTGGCAGGTTGCAGACAATTAGAGGTCTCGTTCTCTGCTTTTCTATTGTCCTATACAGTATGGCCAGGTTAGGAACCCTAAAGCACATGTCTGAGGAAGCTTTTCTGCATTGCAAAAATTCTCAGTGGCTTCCCAGCATAGGCAACATAAAGTCTGAAGTTCTCTTCCTCTCCCTGACTTAATCATCCGGACCATCCCTGCCTCCCCCACCCCCCTGTATGTGTCCTGTAATTCAGCCACACTCTGCTGCTGCCACCTGCTTCGTCACACCCGATTTCCCCTCTGTTTCCTGCTTCTTGGCTCCTCTGTCCACTCCTGTGCCTTCCCCACATTGCTGCAGATCAGAATCCTGCCCAATCTTCTAGCCCGAGCTCCGTGGTAACTTGATTCTGAAATTCTCTCTGCTCTTTCCCTTAAGCTTCCTTAGCATCTTATTTATGACATAAGTTATTTATGTGTGTTTGCTTTTTCTCCACCATCTATTCCTTTTCCTAGATGTCTTCCACCCTGGAACTTCTGTATGTATCTGTCTCCACTGTAGCTTCCCTCATAGCTGGTGGATGTGGATATTCAAAGAACGCTTACTAAATGAATGCTTTTCTTATTAGTGTTAAAGTGTTGTGAATAATTATTTTCTTTTCTACAGTCACAAATCAAGAGTTAAAGGTTATCTGAGATTAAAAATGACTTACTTACCTAAAACCAGTGGCTCAGAAGACGATAACGCAGAACAGGCTGAGGAATTAGAGGTGAGATTTTATAAATATTTGGTTAAACTAAAAAGAAAATATCTAATTTTCTACTTTATTTTACTCCAAAGAAAAATAACTTCATTCAGTGAACTTAATGTGTGCAATGAAAATTATTTACCTGAACATTTATTTCACTGAAACATTGGCTAACAGTTTCTTTCCTCTCAATATTCCTATAGAATGAATGGCCCTTCTGTTTATAGATGAAAGCATTTTTGTAATTAAGTCATTCACTGTCTCTAATTTTTTGGTTTTCTGAACCCATGCCATGTTCTCCATTAAATTAAGAACATAGTTTAATATTTGTAAGTTAAATATATGGATATTTTGAGGGACTCCACTAAGTAGGAACTCTTTTTATGACATGTAATTCCTATTACCTTTCCTGTCCCGGTATGGAACCTCTTAGAAACAAAGAGAGGCAGAGAACTCAGGTGATCTAATAAAAAGCCAGATTTATTTGGGGCAAGTGGAGGGTAACAGATCTTCCTGGGCAACAGGGGAAGAGGGGTGTCCCCTGTAATACCTGAGTGGAGCTCCGTGCACCTGGGTAAGTGAAGAAGGCAGAGAGCATGCACTTGGAGTAGACTTGGACCCTATCACAAGCGCTGGTGCCAGCCAGCACATGACCCTGTGTGAGTCACTGGACACTGAACCTCAGCCGCTTCCTCTTTTAGAGCAACAGGGTTACCCCACAGATGACCTTCCAGCAGACAAATTCATAATTTAAAAGGGGGGCAGGGCTGGCGCTGCGGCTCGATAGGCTAATCCTCCACCTGCGGCCCCAGCACCCCGGGTTCTAGTCCCGGTTGGGGCACCAGATTCTGTCCTAGTTGCTCCTCTTCCAGTCCAGCTCTCTGCTGTGGCCCCGGGAGTGCAGTGGAGGATGTCCCAAGTGCTTGGGCCCTGCACGTGCATGGGAGACCAGGAGAAGCACCTGGCTCCTGGATTCGGATCAGTGCGGTGCAACGGCCACAGCGGCCATTGAGGGGTGAACCAACAGAAAAAAGGAAGACCTTTCTCTCTGTCTCTCTGTCTCTCACTGTCTACTCTGTCTGTCAAAAAAAAGCGGATGGGGGGGGGCAGGAAACAACTGTTCTTTGAGATTGCCTTTGAAGGTACATTAATGTCATAAGGTAGCAGCACTGGGCCAGTGCTGTGGCATAGCCGATTAAGCCACCGTCTGCAGTGCCAGCATCCCTTCATCTCATATGGATGCTGGTTCGAGTCCCAGCTGCTCCACTTCTCATCCAGCTCCCTGCTAATGTGCCTGGAAAAGCAGTAGAAGATGGCCCAAGTCCTTGGGCCCCTGCACCCATGTGGGAGACCAGGAAGAAGCTCCTGGCTGCTGGGTTCAGCCCAGCTCCGGCTGTTGCAGCCATTTGGGGAATGAACCAGGGATGGAAGACTTCCCTCTCCCTGTCTGTCTCTCCCTCTATCTCTTTGTAACTCTGCTTTTCAAATAAATAAGTCTTTAAAAAAAAAAAAAGGTTACAGCATTTACTCAATAACATTTACTGAAAGCACACAGTGTATGGCACCAAATTGCTTTGGAGCATTCTTTTTTAAGTTTATTTATTAGTTTTTATTTATTTGAAAGGCAGAGAAAAAAGAAGGGAAAGCAAGGGAAGGGAAAGGAGGGGGAAAGGAAAGTAAGGGAGAGAGAAAGAAAAAGGGAGGGGTAGAGAAGAAGAAGGGAAGAGAGAGGGAAGGGAAGGGAAAAAGAGGAGGGAAGGAAGCGATCTTCCATCCGCTAGTTCATTCCCCAGGTGCTCTCAGCAGCCAGGTTAGACCAGGCTAAAGCTAAGAGCTGGGATCTCCTCCCAGGTCTCCCCTGTTGGTAGCAAGGACCCAAGTTCTTGATTCATCATCTCCCAGGATATGCATTAGCTGGATCAGAAGCAGAAGCAGATCTCAGTCCCAGGCACTTGGAAATGGATGCAAGCAGCAACTTAACATGCTGCGCCACACTGCCCACCGCTGGAGCATTCTTCTTTTTGTGCTTTCCTTAACAGTCTTGCCTCTTTAAGGGTCTGCTTCTGTCTCCATGGAACCATAAAACTGGATTCCCTTCAATGGGCTGGGCTCTAATTCATAAGCCCATATGCCTTGAGAAAGAAAGTTCTACAATAGGCAGTGAGTTTGCAACAAAGCATTCTGGGAGTTTTCTTAGTGCACTGATGAGATTTTGCTTTGTGGAAGAATTTATAGTAATAGAGGGAAAGAACTTTTTTCTTCAAATCATACAGAATAGATAACCTCTAATTTTTTTTAACTTTTATTTAATGAATATAAATTTCCAAAGTACAGCTTATGGATTA